ACACAGACAATCCCGTAACAATATGCGTTTTGTACTGCTGTTACACAGCACAAAACGCATAAAAATGGCTAAAAAGGATCCTATGCCTACCTGTTCTAACATTCACTCTGTATTCACACCCTCGTGAAAAAAGATATCAAAAATCGGATTTAGATCGAATTAGTTGAATTTATGATTTCAGTTTTGAAGCAGTTACAACGAAAAGAGGTGTAAAAACTGGCCTGAACAAATTTGCTATCACAATTCAATGCAGCAATGGCAGCAACGAACTGGGACATCGGATGCAGATTCTTTGGAAATGCGCCAATCATCTGCTCCACATGATGCGGAAGATCCGCATTCTCGGCCCATTCCTTGCTAAATTAGGTAAGTGAGACAAAACTGGTACTCCAAAAACGAATAACATAAAATCAGTGCATTTCCTATTTTTTTTTTACTTTTCCTGATACTTCAAAACAGCAGCGAAGACAAACCAAGGGAAAAATAATGAAAAAATAAAAAGAGAAAAAGCGAAATACCAAATATATTAAGACGGCTCGAGCTACCGATGTGGGTATCCCACATAAGTGATAATTAATAATTGCTGGGCATTGCCATAACAAGTCCTGGGCTACATAGCTCCAGTTAGTATTAATCACCTATTCCATGTAAGACTGCCGCTTTTTCAGGGATCACCCGAATGGTCGTTTACTTTCTCGCAAGTACCACTCTCTAATGCGCAACGTCCAGGTTCTTAGCAAGACAAGCAAGCATGTCTTGGCCATCGGAATTTGCTTTTTCGTGCCATCATAAGACATCCTGACACCGCTCAATCAATCGGAAATATGACTGTATTTCTATGTTCATATGTCCACAAAAAGACAGGCTAATAAACCTTTGCTACATAATTCTAGAGCAGTTTTGAAGTCTCGAATTTTTTTTTTTTTAGAAAAATTTTTCCCCGAGAAAAATGGGGGGCAAAAAGGGACTAAACAAAAGACAAATTTTCCGCTTGGGCATTAAAATCACCTCAAAAAACAGCACTCTCAAGAACACTTAAAACTTGAAAAAAAAACTGTTTTGAACTGTTTTGAAAAAAAAACTGTTTGGAAAAAACTTGAAAAAACTTCGAAAAAAAAAACTTGAAAAAAAAGAACCCTTGAAACTGTCCAAGCGAGGCTCACAGTAACTTACAGACACTGCAGAAAATCATCTCATTTACTTTGAAGTACCTTTATTTTGCGTTTTTTTTCTGTAGAACAGATAATACCTAATTGCAGCTGTCTGATTTTCATTTGGAACGTCACCGGTGCAAAGGAGCCACCAAATTCCTTCCGGTAGCGGTTGCTCACCACCCGGTGCTTTTGGCAGTAATTTCTGACATTCCGGAATGGAATAGCCACGAAATCGTATGCCCTCCATTGGATCCAACACTGATGTCTCCGTTACCATTGCCTGTAAAATGAAATCCGCTACAGTTCAGGACACTGTGATCCCAAATCTTTGAGAACAGATTAAACAGACATTGAACTACAGAAAAAAATTATGGAGAAAAGGATTGTTACAGGGTCAGTACTCATCGCAAAATTCCACTGAGGCAATAGAAAGGCATAGTAACAACGGTTGAGATAAAAAGAACAATCAAAAACGAAGGTGGGAAATGAGAATTACAAAATTAGTAAAATTATTGTAATACCAGCAATATCTTATCTAATTTATCCGTGGTTTATTAGCACTGGCATGCCATGAGGTGTAAGAAAAGGAAGGTCATTACCTTATTTTTTTCTAGATTGAAAAAAAAACAGCAAAAAAGCTATGTGTTTGGAAGTAGAAACACGGGGAACTGAATTAAATTCAATAAAAATTCCTTGTAATATAAGTAAAATGAGATACCCATACTGACAAACAAGGCTGGCCTGTTTCAAAACTCTTTCTACTGTAAGCAAATGTGAGCACAAATGCAGAAACAGCAAAATACGTCCCTTCTTCCACTCCCCCTCCCTCCCTTCCCTCCTCATTTTCAAAATGTCTTCTGAAAGAGGATACACTCCTGGAAAATTATGGCGTATCGATCTTTGGTCTGTAGGTGTCTTAAAATCAAAGTGGAGCGGGATTTCATTGCGTTCGGCTTACATTCATCAAACATGGAGAACAATTCCCTCACAAAATCAATAGTACCCTCATTTTTTGTAACATAATCCGGCCATAACTGAGATAATTTGCGGTAAGTGTCAGAGGAAACAAGCGTATTGGTACCTTCATAGTTCGCATACCCCCATAAATCATGTTGACAGTGATGTTCTGCAGAACAGTTTCGCCATGCTGCTTTCGGAACTCCTGCACCTTCTTGTTGTGGGCGGGAATTTTTTGCGCAATTGCCTAAAAACAACAGGTGACGCATTTTATGAATTAATAAAAAAACAGAAAATCTGGACAAGAAAACTGATAAATTTTGTGAATTTTCTATCAAATGAGTTGACTAAATTACAGATGATAAAGTATGCACAAAATGTGAATCGCAACCCATTTAATCATTGTCTCCAACGCATGTTTTATAAGTATTATCAATAATTTTTTGAACACATTGCTATTTAACCAGTAGATTATACCAAAAAATCGAAAAAATGTACAAAATGGAGTACTCAGCGCAAACTCACCTCTTTTAGATTTGTTGTAGAAGCGGCGGTTGCATAGCATGATGCCAAATACTGAAAAGCCGAAAATTAGACATTCAATTTTAAAAATTTTATATCAACTTCAAGATCGTTCAAACAGTTGGTGTAGCGATCCTGTGTTAGTAATGCTGCTGCGAAAAACCCGTGAAAAGCTAGGAAAAAAGTTGCTACAAACAAAAAAATACTAAGGGAAGAAAATTAAGGGAAAAACAATGTATACTGCCTGTGAGAGTGAACCAAGAAAAGAAAGGTGCATTCTGCCTTGGAAGGCTCGTGGTGCAGTGGGTAAAGCATCGCGCCCGGATGTGAGCGAGAGTGGTTCGATTCCTTCCCGCTCCACAGTCATTTTTGAAAAATGGCCCGCTCGCTACAGATTTTGCGGGAATGCTTCCACACGCCAGACGCAGCCGTGTCAGGCCTATTGATCCTCAGCCGCATATTTCCAGTTCAATATTGTATTATCTCTCCAGAAGCCGCCCAAGTGGTCAGTTACTTCTTCTTTGGCGCCACTCACTGTCTGTATGTTGCTAGCACGATGAACAGCATGATTTGCCTATTGAATTTCGCTTTCATATGCGGTCGTAATGACATTTTGCATGCCTATGATTTGACAAAGGGCCCAGCTAAACATATACATAAACATAGGTGGTCGCGAAGAAACACGACAAACACACGTTTTTGCCGTCACAACCAGTGTTCGCTCTTCAGCTTTCGTCACTGACCACGTCCCGTATCCGTACGTCATTACTTTCAACACACAGTGGTGTCGAAATAATGGGAACAAGCCTTCCGGTTCAACACTTTAGTGAAGCGTTGCAAAAAAAAGACGGTCTTGGCGAACCAACTGAGGATGAAAGTACAAACGAAAGATAAAAATGTGTGTTATCAACCTGAACGGCAAAAATTCGACTGAACAAATAAAGAATCGATTTGCATCGCCTACCTCCCTTCCCCACCTTTCACACTGCCAGCAGCAACATCGAACATTCAAAATCGAGCCGTTTGCCGGACTTTGACTGATGATAATGCCTTATTGTTATCATGTTTTTTTTGCCATTATCGGTTGAACGATTTGTGATATTTAGGTCTAATGTTTAGACCCTTTTAACCCCTCCCCCTCCCCTCTTTTTTTTTCTTTTACTAAATACCACGGGGCATGAATGACAGGGTGGTCAGCAGAACTGACCACTGGGTGATGCAGCACTGGTCAAAGCAAGTGGAAAAGTTGTCAAATGAAGTACGTTATGAGTTTTAGATAAACATAACAAAGTGAATCGTCACACTTCCATATTCTTATTGAATAGTAGAGTAGAAAGATTCGACTTAGATGTCATGTACAAAAAGACATTTCACGATGCAGTGTCTGTGTTTCATCCCTTAGCTGTAAACACAGATCGGACTATGAATATCTCCTCCTCGGAACTATTGATAGCCTTATCAAATGGCTATTTCTCTTATGCACTTTGTTCCTAATGGTCACTCAACCCATAAGCTTAACCACTGACCCATTCGGGATGGGAATGTAGGATAACTGGATTGACCATTTTCATCACTTACTCGCCGTTTTTTGTAAAAAATTAAATTTTTTTTTTGAAAAAAAAAAGAAAATTACCCGTCGTATTTGTCATTTATTTTTATAAAAAAGGTTTTTTTTTTTTTTTTTTTTTAAATTACCTTGGCAGGAGCAATATGCGAAGAGTTGAAGATCTTCGAGAACAGTGCCATTATACACAGAAATTTCTGTAATATATCTAGCGAAACGAATTACGACACAGCGAGAGAAAGAGAGAGAGAGAGGTTGATCCGGAGGAAAACCTGAAAATGAACGATGAAATTTTTCAGAGAAGCAAACACCAACGTTACGCTATCCGAAAATCGTCTCGATCAAAACTGGCAGCAACAACATCAATCAAATTTCATAAAAACTTGAAACAGACACATCAATCAACATAGGCGGATTCTGAACAGACTCCTGGAGGGAGGAAGGGAGGAGTAGGGGAAGGAGAGGGGGAAGGATCCGCTTGAACGACTATATGGAATTTATGTGGATGAGAGAAGCCCAAAACAGAGAAGAATGGAGAAATTGCCAATTGCAAAAGTAACAATGAAACAACAGAATGACCAAGGCACCAAACTCACGCCAGTGGAATTTTGGCACTTACAGTTGTACGGATGCGAAACGTGGTCACTGACGAAAGCTGAACAGCGAGAGCGCTGGCTGTGACGGAGAGAGCGATGGAGCGGAAGATGTTTGGAGTATGTATCACTTCGCGCCAATGTAACGCCCACGCAATCCCTCCGAATTCAAAACAAAAGAAAAAGGGAAAACCAATAGTCCGAATGTAGGAAGATAGGAATGACACCAAAAACAACGGTTGCGGTGGGATGAGGGTGGCACATCTCTCCGGAACGGAACGATCAGCGGCTGGGCTCGGCTAGCGTACACACACATACGCACACACACACAACCATCCACACACACGCATATTCATCAGTGACCTCATCGCAGCAGCGCTCTGTCTAGTTTGACCGGGCGAGGCAAGAGAACAGCAGGGGGAGCAAGGAAAAAGCATTCAGAGGCAATGGCCTGAGAAGCAGCAACACGATGTTTATTGCTATGGTCACCATTGTGTGTGTCCACTTTTCCAGGGACAGCTACTAAAACTCGGCTCAGCGACGCAAGATGCATTTATTTTTGCGTTGAGGTTCGGGACCAGGGGGGCTTTGGCCCCGCCCCTCCCTCTCACTCCTCCCCTAGCGGCACAGGCACCAGTGTTACAAAAACCCGGGTCTAAAGCTAAAACTAAAGTCTAAAGTAACTCTAAGTAGCAGTGTTACAGCTCTAT